TTACTTATTTTCAGAAGCAAATACTTAATTATCATAAAAGAAGGTGATCACACAAATAAAGGGCCTGCTCGTCTTGTTTGGTGTCCTTATATATCAGATGATGGAAGCGAAAATGGAGAACATGAAGAAGTTCATTTACTTGGGGTTGTACAGGTTTATTTTCATATTATGTTTTAAAAATTTATTTTAATTATTTTTAAGGGTCAACAAATAACCTTGTTTATGTTAAACAAAATTAGAGAAGAAATTGGCCGTACAGAAGTTACTTATGAACGAATTAGAGAACTTAAAGGTGTAATGACGAGTGTTCAAATTGAATCAGTTAGTTTTTTTATTTTAAACATATTTTGTGCGTGGGAGGGGGGGGGGAGCGGTATGAGAAATTTAGTTGAAATGTACATGTCACAATTTTAACATAACCGTAAATTTTCTCCTAAGTGCATTTTGCTCTTCGATTTTATTTAATTTTTGTAAATAATATTAAATTTTTCTAAGGAAATCACAGCTTGTAAAATCAGTCCAGATGCAACAGCCTTAGTAGTAACCGGTTCAGATGGAGAATTGGCATTTTTTGTAATTGAACAATTTGATGATGATATCCAAATAGCGAGTAATTGTCGTCCACTTGCTAACAATCCAATCGAAGAATTAATTTTTTTGGATTCTTTGTGGAAAACTGTTGTTCTTTCATCTGATAATGGGAGGCGTTTGGCTATTTTTGATTGTGATAATTGGCAATGTATGGCTAAATTAAGATTTGAATCGCCAAATCAAGTAACGAGAATGGAACTTTTGGCAGAACCAAATATGCATTTTCTTTTTGTTGCCGATTATGATCTTTCTGTAAGAAAATATATTTTTTTTTTGGGAATGAGGTCGTTTCGGATTAAAATTTTCAGAAAATTTCGATTTTATATTTTAGTCATTTTTTAGCTTTTTAATTTTATATCCTTTTTATAATTTATTATTTAGAATCTTTTCTGCATCGAACTTACCCAGCCTATGCCGCAACCTTCTGGAAAAATTGGTCCGCTCTCTTTTGCAGCCTGCACTCAAATTAGTTTTTGCAATCCGCTCATTTGTATTGTGCCATGTTCTTTGACAGATCATTGTAAATATTTTTTATGAAATTAAATTTTTTTTAAATTAAAATTTTCAGCTGCAGATTTGTCTTTAGAAGACGAAGATCAATTAGTATTTGGGGGAGATAATAATTCTGGAACAACACCTTCTACAATAGCTACTTTAATTGCTATTACACAACGTTCTCTTTTAGAAATTAATGTTGAATTGGTTTGGATTTTGAGTTTTTTCTTTTTAAATTTTCTTTTAAAGGACCGTGTATTTAATGTAAATCCTTCTGTTGCTTCAGCAATTCCAATAAGTACTTCACAACAATCTTCAAGAAGTCATCACATCCATCCTTCTTATATTTCGTCTCAATTAGTTGAAAATTCTGCACCAGAAAATTTGCAACAACAACAAACACAGCAATTATTGGAAGAACTTATAGATCCAAACAATTTGGTTAAAAAGTATATTATTAATTTTTAAATAAAAATGTGACTTCTTTTAAATTCTCTGTATTTTTCCTATAATTTTTGAAATTATATTAAGAATTACCATACCTTACTTACAATTAGAAATCGTGCTTATGTTTGCCTGACTGCTCTTTGTGCAGGCAGTTTTAACTCTTAACTTTCACTATCTTTTTTGTTTTTTTTTGGAAAGATAAAATACCAAATTTCATTAAATTTATTATAATTTAAGTACTCAATCCTTGTCTTTACACGACACAAATCGTTCTGCAAGACAATCATCTGCTGACAATATTGGTGCTTCAAATAATAAAAGTTTTGGTTGTATTGACGACGTTAATGGAAGTAATTACTATCGGAGTGAATGGCAACAACCACCTTTAAATATTAACAAAGAATTTTTTGAAAAAATGAATGAAACAATTGAAAGACGTTTTGGAGAATTTGGAGAAAAGGTTTTTTTGTTATAAATTTTAAATAAATAATTTAAAATAAAGATGGATGAGCTGTCGCAACAATTGACAAAATTACAAGTGGAAAATGAACAGTTACGGGCAAATCAAGCAGACAATTTGTCTAATGTTTTGGAGAAAATTTGTATTTTTTTTAAATTTTGTTTTTGGTTTATTGAAAGATTGGGTGACATACATAAGAATCCTCTGTTAGGGTAGGGGAGAATTCTAATTAGATTATAAGAGTTATGTATTTAGAATCTGTTATTGTCCCAATACTTTAAATTTATTTTTATAAAAATTCTTTTAAAGCAAACGAATTAAAATCTCGTGAGGATCGAATGCAGTCATTAGTTATTAAACAATACAACGAGGGAGCTGAACAAATTGTAAGAAGCACTGAAGCATTGTTGACAAATCATTCTGAAAATTTGCAACGAAATATGGATTATGCTCAAAGACGCGGTTCTGAACAGATTCATTTAAGTTTAGAACGAATTCTGGTTCCACAGGTTTTTAATTTTCTTGCTAAAAATTTGTACAAATATTGAGTTTTTTAAAGTTTAAGTTTTTCTTATCTAAGGAGGGAAGGAAATTCTTCTGCTTCATTGGGCTCCTTGATTTTTAGATTAATTATCTTTATAAGAAAGGGATTAATCTTCAAGTTTACTTCTTGAATACCTAAGTTTTTAATAATATTTTTTAAATTTAAGGTCGAATCTGTCTGTACCCAACTATTTCACCAATTAAACGAGTCTTTCCGTTCTGGTCTTCAAGAATTTATAGAACAATTGAAAACCTTGAGTAAACAACAATTAGAACAAATAAAAGTTGCAGCACAACAACAACAGCATTATCAACAACAGCAGCAGCAACAACAATCAGAACCACAACTTACATCTTTGGAACGATTAAATCGATTATTAAATGCTAACAAATTGAAGGAAGCTTTTGAATTGGTATTATAATTTATAAAATTTATGATTCTTTGAGGTTTTTCTACTTCCTCTATTACGCTTGTTTATTCGGGGATTATTCCACTAAATAATTACTGATATCTGTTTTGACCTTTTAGGTTTTCCTAACCAAAGTCTTTTTAGTTCCTGGTGTAAAAGATAATCCTTTTTTAATCTCATAGACCTACCATGTTGATTCTATTTTCTTTTCTAGGCTCTAAACCACGACGATTCTGTCCTTCCTGGAGGCGATCTACTTCTCCCGATTGTTTGTAAACGTGTGGATCCGGATACTTTCTTCTCCACTTCATCGAATAGTGCCGCTGCTGCAGTTTCTCCATCATCAGCTAATACATCCTCTACAACTTCAATACCCCCACCTCCACTTCCAATTGGGGCAATTTATCAACTTTTATTACAATTGGCAGCTAGATTGGAGACTGACACAGATTTAAAATTTCGTTATTTGGAGAATGCTTTGCCTGCATTAAATAATGTTTTGCTTTTTGGACGACAATCAACGAGTAGTACATCCTCAACTTCGGGAAGAACAACAATGAAGGAACAAAAAGGAGGAACTAAACAAAATACACTTGACTTGCGTGGAGTTATGGAGCGGTTGGGACAAGCACTTTTTGGTATTTTTAAAGTTTTTTGAATCTTATTTTAAACAACCTCTCGGGGCATGTGACCAACAGGGCCAGTAAACCAATAAGGATTTTGATTTCGACCTCCATAAAAAAGCTGGAAAAATTTCTGATTTTTTCACGGTTTTAGATTTAATCTAAGCCTCTCCCTCATAACTAAAATAATATGGGTAGATCTTTAATTATTAAGCTTTAATATTTCAGCGTTTGGAGAAAAAGAAGAAAACCGAGAATGGAAACGACGTATCCGACTTTTGAATCAATTAATTGCGAATATGCTCACCGTAAATACTGGCCATTAGAATATATTAAAAATTGAAAGGAATGATATTAAGTATATTTTTTATTCTTTGTTTGGCCCTAATTATTTTCTGCAAAAATCCCAAATAGTAGCAGAATCAATTTATATATTTTGGATTATTTAATTTTTCAAAAAAAATATTAGAATTTAGCCCCAAAATCTGGCAAAATCTCTTTAAATTCCAAAAATAATAAATACTCGATTTGGTGAAATTCCAAAAACCTTTCTAACGATTAAAGATAGAGATTTTGGATCTATTACACAATATATGTCCAATCGACTTATACGTCCAATCACACTTTACGCGTCCAATCAAAAAATTGGATTTTTCTTTACATTTTAAAGTTGGGGTTGGGTTCCAAAACTTTTTTGCATGTTTGGAACCTACATACACTGTGTCTGTGACTGTTACCTTTATCCTTCGAAATTTCTGAAAGTTATAATCGTTTTTATGAAATTTTAAACAGTTGGCTATAAAAATAGGGTAAAGAACGGTTTCAAACCCAGTGGGGCCTGTGATATTCCCTAACACGCTCAGCTGAGCACTGTGTCCGGAGTTCCTCCAATCGGCCACCTGCCGATACAGCATAACTAGAATTAGGTGGGTAAAACAGTTGCTTTCTTTTTCTGTCGACTATAATCTCCATGTCGTTTTCTAAATCCTGCATCTCACTGTAGACGACGCCAGAGTCTGCACCATTCCCGTCAATATGGTGAACCTCCGTAAGGTATTGAGCGTCCTGAATTTTCAGAATTATTTTAAAATTAATTATTTAATAACCGTTAACAAAGGAGAGAGCAAATGATCAATGAAAATAGGCAGGGTTTTCAGAAATCCTGCATGTCCAACTGTTGTTAAACTATAGACTGTATAATCTTGACATGTTGCTGCATTTGTTCCAGAAGCCAAACATATCATAAATGGGCATTATCTGAATGGGTAGTCTTCTTGCGAAATCTTTTATGAATTAAGTATTGCGTTTTTGACCGGAGTGAATTCTAAATTTCCGATCAGAAACCGAAAACAGTAATTTGTTCCGAAAAATACAAGATGATAGATTATGATTTTTTCGCAAGAAGACTACCCATTCAAATAATGCCCATTTATGATAGGTTTGGCTTCTGGAACAAATGCAGCAACATGTCAAGATTATACAGTCTATAGTTTAACAACAGTTGGACATGCAGGATTTCTGAAAACCCTGCCTATTTTCATTGATCATTTGCTCTCTCCTTTGTTAACGGTTATTAAATAATTAATTTTAAAATAATTCTGAAAATTCAGGACGCTCAATACCTTACGGAGGTTCACCATATTGACGGGAATGGTGCAGACTCTGGCGTCGTCTACAGTGAGATGCAGGATTTAGAAAACGACATGGAGATTATAGTCGACAGAAAAAGAAAGCAACTGTTTTACCCACCTAATTCTAGTTATGCTGTATCGGCAGGTGGCCGATTGGAGGAACTCCGGACACAGTGCTCAGCTGAGCGTGTTAGGGAATATCACAGGCCCCACTGGGTCTGGGACCGTTCCTTACCCTATTTTTATAGCCAACTGTTTAAAATTTCATAAAAACGATTATAACTTTCAGAAATTTCGAAGGATAAAGGTAACGGTCACAGACCCAGTGGATGTAGGTTTCAAACATGCAGAAAAGTTTTGTAACCCAACCCCAACTTTAAAATGTAAAGAAAAATCCAATTTTTTTGATTGGACGCGTAAAGTGTGATTGGACGTATAAAAGTCGATTGAACGTATATTGTGTAATAGAGTCGAGATTTTGCCAATTTATTATGCTTCTCACAATGATTTTTTAAAACACTACTACAAAATTAAAAAAAGATAAAACGACAAAAATATTTCGTTAGCCCTATTTCCTTATTGTTTATTTATTGTTGAACTTTTCGAAAATATTAAACCTTTTTTTGAGTTTCTCGTTTTTGAGTTTAGGAAAAGTTCAATAAAATTTTCTATTAGTCGAACTTTGATTTTAAATATCTGCTCGGGGGTGAAAAATATTATTTTTGTTAGAAATCCTAGAGTTGATTTTATTTTTGAGGTGGATATCTAAAAATGAGGTTCGACTATATTAAAAAATATTTTCTTTTTTCACACACCTTTTGTTTTAAAAAATTATTAAAAATTATCTATTTGACCATACAATTATTTTCATAAAAAATTTGTTTTTAAAAAAATTTATAGTAAAAATATTTTTTTAATTTTCAACAACTTAAAATAAAAAAACCACAAAAATATCATTATTGAACATTTATCGAGCATCGTAAACCATCACTAAAAATTTAAATATAAAATTTTTTAAAAAAATTTAAAACAAACTTTTTCGAGTTCTTTTCTTGTAAAGAATTCTATAGCCACATTCTCGACATCTAATTGGATCTTTTGGACGTATTTCATTCTCTTTGTGACAATCTTTTTTAAAATTTAAATTTATAAAAACTAAATTTAAACCTCCACAAATGTAAATAACAGCAGAAATTGTGCCAGGATTTCCACCAATTTTGGCTTGTGTACCGCCAACAGTTGTTGCTGGAGTTGCTGATCCATCCATTTTTTAATTTTTAAAGTGATTTATTCAAATTTATATGAAATCTTAAAAATAATATTATCAAAATAAGCTTAAAAGAGGTAGAGGGGCAAGAAGCTTTACAGAATTACTGTTTCAGAATTGGCTATTTCATTATATTTTTCTTAAATTTTGACTAATACAACAATTCTTAAGTCATCTAGAGTTTCGAGATGCGGTATTATTAATTGAACCGAGCTGATTCGAGCAAGATAAAAAATGGATGGAAAAACGATGCTCTGAATCGGCGACTTTAAATCGTCCTTTACCGTTGAACATGGGTATGGGACGATTCAGTATCGCCGATTAAGTATACGGTGAAAAGGGGATTTAGAAATCAGAATTCTGGTAAATATAAAAAACAATTTAAATTAAGAGTTAAAAAACCAGAATCAATATTAAATAAACTTGAAATCAGAATTTTACTGAATAAAATTTAATAATCAGAATTTAAATATAATTTGTGGAAAATAAATAAACTTGAAATAGAAATATCAGAATTTCCAGAATTTAAATTATCAGAATAAAAATATATCAGAATTTTAAATTAAATTAATTCTAATAAATATATTTTTTTAGGAAAATAATTTTAAAGAATAAAAACTTTTTTTTAATTTATTTCTGATTTTCTTTTTTTTTAAATGAAAATCAAATTTTATTCGATGTAATTTTTTTCCAAATTTTTTTTTAAATTTTTAATAAAATATTTTTTAGGGAAATAATTTTAAAGAATAAAAACTAATAAATATTTTATCGAAAATTAAAAAAAAGTTTTTCTTCTTTAAAATTATTTTCCTAAAAAAATATTTTATCAAAAATTGAAAAAAAATTTTTGGAAAAAAAATTACATCGAATAAAATTTAATTTTCATTTAGAAAAAAAGAAAATCAAAAATAAATCGTTAAAATTTTTTTCTTCTTTAAAATTATTTTCCTAAAAAAATATTTTCCTATTTTTAAATATTTTCCACTTGTTATTTCTTTAAATTCCGATTGAGTGGTAAACGACGCCACGTCTAAAATTTAATAAAAAAATTTGATTTAAACCAAAAAACCTCTTCTTCTTCCTCTTCCCCTTTATTATTTTGATAAAAATTAAAATTTTCCTTTTGTCGAAAATTCCAAACAGAATTTTCTATTAAATTTTCATTATAAGAGTTAAACATAGTAGAATTATTTAAATAAGTTGGGAATATTTGAGAATTATTTTGGGTATTTATTGAAGGCTAAATTGGAAGAAAAAAAATTTTTTTCAAAAATTAAAAATTATTTAACTAACATTAATTAATGTTTTTTGATTTTGTAAAATTTGATTTTGTTGAGGATTTTGTATTTTTGGTTGTTCAATTATTGGAAGTGAACAACGAGTTGTAAGTAATGGAGTTGTGTTATTATTATAACGATTAATTGGATTATCTAAAAAATAAAAAGGGATGGGATTTTATATAAGTTTCAAATAATAATAGTGACAAGGGATTTTGAGGAATTGTCGCCTATATATGCAAAAAACCAAATATTGAAGTTGCAAAATTGTATGGACTAATACTTGCGATAAGCTATATAACAATGACGGATTTTCTTCCGATTCTTCCGCCGAATTCCGTCTTCTTTGGCCCTTCCGCTTCTGCTTCTTAAAATTCAAAATTATCCATCCCTGCTAAATAACCTGGACACATCAAGGATTTTTTTAAATGAAGTAAAGGATTAGACCGGAAATTAACAAATTTATGATCTCATCTATTATATGAAAAAGGTTGATAATGTAGTGACTTTATCATTTTCTAAATTGAGTTAATATAAAATTTAGGAATTCCACTGGGAGGAGAATATTTTTTGTAAAAATTTTAAAAGTAAAATTTAAATAAAGAAAATTTTTTTTCAAATTAACCATTTAAAGGTAATTGCGAAGATATTCTTCTTCCATTAATTTCAAAATCTTTTCGTCTTTTTTGTCCATAATTTATTTCATAAATTTTTTGTGTTGGAAGTTTAATTTTGTTTAATTGTTTTTGTCCAGTTTGAATTAAATTTGGAGAAATTTTTGAATTTTTATTAATATTTTCAATTAATAAATCCCCATTGGGAAGTGAAGTTCTTGTTAATAACTGAAAAAAATTGGATTTATAATTATTTTTTAAAATATTTTTTTTTTAATTAAAATAAATTCTGAAAATTAAAATTTATTTCAGACTACACTCTGTCAGAAAACTATAAACGCAGGTCAAAATTTTGTCTTAAAACCTATTTCTCTGTAGTAATATTTAAATTTTTATTTTAAACCTATATAATAGAGTTACAAAAATAAGTTAAGTCACTTTTTACATAAAAATTTGATGTTTTTCGGCATATTTTTTTAACTTTATCAGAATTGACCGTCAGAAAACTATAAACGCACTCATAATTTTTATAATTAAAAACAATAAAATATGAATAATTTTATATTTCTTTGTAGAGTTATTTCTCCTTTATTAAAAATAAAAAAGAATTAGACCCATATCTCACTTCAGTGTCGAGATCCAGATACCTCGAAAATCAACGTAAATTGGGGGTAAGGCTCTTTAAAAAATCTTTTCGACCCCTTATGATTTGTTTTAAATTTCCGTTTTGGGCTCATTCGAAAGCCCTTAAAATTTGCTATAAGATAGGACAAGTTTTATTTTTAAAAAAAATATTTCAGAAAGTTATTAAGTTTTAAATCTTTAAGGCAGAGAAAAACACCTAAATGCCCCATAAAATTAGCTCCGGAAAATTAACGGCCTATATCTCTCTAATGAATTTTTTTCTGAAATACAACATCCATTTTATCTTGTAGCAAATTTTAAGGGCTTTCTAATGAGCCTAAAATGGAAATTTAAAACAACCCATAAGGGGTCGAAAATATTTTTTAAAGAGCCTTACCCCCTATTTACGTTGATTTTCGAGATATCTGGATCTCGACTTCTAGTAAAGATATGACCCTAATTTTTTCTATTTATAATAAAGGAGGGATAACTTATTATAAAAATATAAAATTATCCATATTTGATTGTTTTTACTTATAAAAATCATAAGTGCGTTTATAGTTTTCTGACAGTCAATTCTGATAAAAGTTAAAAATACCCCGAAAAACACCGAAATTTCAAGTAAATTCAATTTCAAATGAATTAACTACATTATTATAAAGGCTAAAAATAGAAATTTAGATATATACTGCAGAGAAATAGGATTTAAGACAAAATTTTGACCTGCGTTTATAGTTTTCTGACAGAGTGTATAATTTGCTATAAAAATACAAAGGATAACCCCTTATATAGGCAAAAATTTTGTATAAATGTTCCCAATAATGTTATTTAACATAACTAGAAATTCCAGAATTTTTTGTTAATATATTTAAGAAATTATAGAAAGTGAGAAATTTTTGAAACAAAAGATTTTGAAAATTTTAGAGGAGATAGTTAACACAAGAGAATAACAATTGGAAGGTTACAAAGGTCTTTATTTAGGAATTTTATAAGCTTCTAAGTAGCGTTGGCACTTATCTCGGGAACGTTAAAAAATATTTTTTATAAATTTTCTAAAAATTTTCGAATTATTTTTTAAACATTTTAAAATTAAAAAAAATTAATCTTTACATTTTTTTCATTATTTACTTCATTATCCACCCCATATTGTCTTTGTAATATATTATTGTTGTAATTTCCACTACTTGCTCTTCTAATACTTATTTCTCGAAATTTATAATTACAAGAATTTTCTTCTAAAGAATTTTTAGGTTTTGGAAGTCCAAAACGTTCTTGTTTACGTAAATGTAAAACTCTTGGAGGTAATTGGATATTTTGTTTATTTAAATAAAATTGGTTTTCTGTTGCTGTTAAACGACGATTTTGTTGTTGTTGCTGCTGATTTTTATTTAAAGGTGATGAAGAAGATATTAATGGAGGTAATGAGGAAGATGATAATGAATAATATTTCTTTAAAGAATTAAAAAAATCTATTGAAATTTTTTAGAATAAAAAGGAGAGGAAGGAAGGAGGGGAAGGGAAGAAAGGAGGTTGTCCGAAAGGAAAGGGACAAGGCTATATCTTTATTAGTGTGAAAATAGCAAAAGATTGGATGGGAATGATCCTGAGAACTCTCCGATGGAAGGTGCTTAACCATACCACAACGACTAAACGTTTTAATTTTTTTATTTGCTAGGCTGAGAAGAAACTTGAAACTCAATCAAGTCAATATTTAATTTAAATCAAACTTTTCACTTTTTTATATAATTTTTTAAAACCTTTGAATAAGGTTGTTGAGTAGAAAATAATTCAGAAAAGGGTAATTGTTGTTGTTGTTGTTGTGCTATTGTTGATGTTGTACTTAAAAATAAAATTTAAAAATTAATTTAAAAATAAATTAATTAATTTACCTACCTAACAGTACTAGGCAACGAAATGTCAGAATCAAAAGACAAATTATTCTGATTTTTCTTTGAATAATTCTGATGATTATTTTGTGAAATTTTGGGTGGTTTTTGTTGTTCAATTTTTGTAATAGGCAAAGTTATTGTGTGATTTCCATTTAATATAGAAACGCTCGTTTGTTTTTTGTTTTCATCTACTAAATAAATATTTTTTGGATATTATAAAAATTAAATTTAAAAATATTTTTATTTTTTAAAATTTTTATTATTTAATAGTACCTATAATTTCTCCAACAGAGGAGGTAATTTAATTAAATAAAAAATTTAAAAATAAAGAAAAGTTAAACTAATAATGAGGAAATTCTACACAAATATTCTTTATAGTGTTAACTACTTTTAAAACAAAATTTATAATTTTTGGTTTAATATTTCTCAGTTGGTATGATTGAAACTAAGGTCAAACCATAAAGAATTTTGATAATTTAAACTTTTTGTCCATAGCTTGTTAAATAATAAACCAAAAATTCTTAAATTTTGAGGAGTGTTAGATAACAATATTAATTATATTCAAATAAAAATTCAGGCTTCTATGTCTTAATTTG